AGAAGGAAGAGAGATTCCTATAGTTCATGGAGTCTTGAGGACTCATGAGAAGCAAAATGGGGACGCCTGGGTGGCTCTGTCGGTTGAGCAGCTGCCTTCAGCTCAGGTCATGATCCCAGGGGCCTGAGACCGAGTCCCAAATCGGGATCCTTGCTCAGCGGGGAGCCTGCTTCTCCCTCTGTCTGCCCCTCCCCCTGCTTGTGCTCTCCCTCTCTCTCTCTCTCTGACAAATAAATAAAATCTTTTTTTTTTAAAAAAAGAAGAAGCAAAATGGACATATCAAATTTTTGACAAAAGGAGATAATAACGTGGTTGATGACCGAGGCCTCTATAAACAGGGACAACACTGGCTAGAGAAGAAAAATGTCATGGGGAGAGCAAGGGGATTTGTTCCTTATATTGGGATTGTGACGATCCTCATGAATGACTATCCTAAATTTATGTATGCAGTACTCTTTCGGCTGGGTGTATTTGTGCGGGTCCATCATGAGTAAGAAGTCTGCCTTCTGTTTTCGGAAGATGCTCTGCTTTTCCTTACTGAATGTTTGGAGTAGATATTGGTCTGTGATTGGTGGAGCAGAGAACGCAGCTGTTCTCTGCGCAGCTTGTTAGCAATGGTTTGCGTTAGTTTCTGTTTCCACACCAGGGTATGTATGGAAGGGTGCATGGGCACCATGGCACGTACTCGGGGAGACCCTCAAATCATAGCATTTCATATGTTGTCATTGTCAGACTTTCACATTTTGTACATCAGTGAATTTTTTTATATTAAAAGTTTGAGGCAAAGAGAAAAAAAGAAAAGAGAAGGAAGGGAGGAAGGGAGGGAGAGAGAGAAAGAGGAAAAAAAGAAAGAAAGAAAGAAAGAAGAAAGAAAGAAAGAAATACAGAAAAAAACGAAAATGAGGTGGAGAAAGTCACTTTTTTTTTAGGTAATTAAGGAAAGTTGGACTTGGATTGATGGGGTGTTAGATGGTGTGAAGCAATTATTGTTAGTTTCACTAATGGGAATTGTGATAAGTAAAAAAAAAAGTCCTTATTTGTTATGGGTGAAAATGGGGGGAAAGTAGGTAAAGTACCTTCCCATTCCTGGTTATAAATACATGTACATGCTTTAGAGATGTATAGAGATGCACAGGGAAAAGCTGGAAGGAAGCTCTCCAACTTACTAGCATCCTTGGAGAACAGATTATGGCTGATTTTCTCTTCTTACTTATCTGCCTTTATTTTCTTAACAATGTACAAACGTGTGTGATAAGGGGAGAGACAGACACCCTTATCTCTTAGTGACAAGGGCTCTGCTCTTGGGATTCCTCTTGGGATTCCTCTTGAAATTCCTGCAGGGAGGAGGAGCTGAGGCAGGTCTGTGGGACAGGCCTCCAGGCCCAAGAAGCGGGTGGTTCAGTACACACGGAGCCTGTGAGATCTGGGCAGGACACATGGGGCTTTAGCACTAACCTCCTGAAGGTTGGAGCCGGTTCCAAGGGACCTGCACTCCCACCGTGCCTCGGTGGTGCTGTGCCCACAACGGGCCCACTTTTGGCCTAGACCCACCTTCTTCCCAGAGCTCCCTCTTAACTATGGATGGATTGCTGGGGTCTCCCACCCCCTGCTCTGCTGTGCTTCTGCCTCCAGTCCTCTGTAGAGCACAGAAAGTCCAATCAGTGACCACCAACAGGGAAGTCAGTGATGAAGCCAGCTCTCCTAGACCCCAGCTCTGGGCTGTACAGACCTCCTCAGGACCATACCTGGGCGCCCGAGGCCAAGTAACAGAACAAGGTGATGCCCAGGACGCAGGTGTTTCCACAGGCAGCGCCTCCACCCATGCTTCCTCTCACCTCCCTCCCTCAGGGGACCTCCTCACACACACATATATGTACACACGGGACTGGAACTGAAACCCAAGAACACCCCTCACATCTCCCGCCTGAGGGCCACCCCCTCCGCCCCCGCAAGGGGTCCTCACTCCCCAGGGCCTTGGCATGATGGGAACCCTGTATAATATTGTAACTGAACTAATGTGAGTTCCGTTCTTGGTGAGTTGCAGGTAGAAACTACACCAGGTGAGTTGTCACACAATCTAAAATTTATTTGCAGCAAATAAGATCATGGGGAATACCTTCCAAAGCTGTGACTCCCCAAGCAAGGGTGGATGAGTTCCTCTTATTTAGGCTTAGGATGAATATTTAAAAAGGGGATCCTTGTCATGGTATGTAGAGGCGGGCATAGTGTTGTGCATACATATATTGTGTATTACGTAAAGGAGGCTTGTGTTCCTCCATGGATGGAGATTTTGGTATTATAAGGGGGTAAAGGTAATTGCCAATCATCCCAGAGGCCACTCCATGGCTCATGTGTGCAGGCTCGAGTTGGGGGTTTAGCTCAAACCAGGCTGGGTCCTCTGGATCTTATCAGGGCAGACGTTATGCTTGAGTTTTGGTTTCCATTACGGGACGTTATGCCCATTAGGTCTTTTGCCTGAGCTAAGAGATAAGCTGGAAAGAAGAGCGTAAGGGAAAAGTGGGGCAAAGGTTGGTGAATACAAGCAAATGGGCAATAAAGATCAGATCTTAGGGTCTAGCTGGTGACGCTATCAGTGGTGATAGAGACCTTGAGATCATCTTGCCCAATCCTTCTATTAAAAAGGGTGGAAACCAGGGGCGCCTGGGTGGCTCAGTCGTTAAGCGTCTGCCTTTGGCTCGGGTCATGGTCCCAGGGTCCTGGGATCGAGCCCCGCATCGGGTCCTTGCTCCGCGGGGAGCCTGCTTCTCCCTCTCCCTCTCCCCCTGCTTGTGTTCCCTCTCTCGCTGTGTCTCTCTCTGTCAAATAAATAAAATAAAAATCTTTAAAAAAAAAAAAAGGGTGGAAACCAAGACTCGGAGTGGGGGCGTGACCTTGCAAATCAGTGAGTCAATGATGGGTCCAGGATTAGATAGAACCCAAGAATCCTGGCATCAAACCCTTTACAATGTGCTACCTCTCATCGGCCCAATGGGTCGAAGACTCTGAGGATAGAGGCTACTCCGCCACCCCACCGATGGTAAGATCGGCAGAGCAGCCTCTTGGCAGGAACACCATCTGTACATCCTGTGCCACGTCCAAGGGCCAGGGAAGGAGCTCAGTGTCTGACTCCAGGAGGGTTTTAAGAGGAGAGGGAAGCTGGGAGTGGGGGAACGAAGGCCCGGAGGGGGGGGGGGTGGGGGGGACTGCCGTGCAGCTTCCTCGTGGCAGGTGCTGCGCGAACAGCCCCTCTGCAAGGAGCTCCTGGTCACACCACTTCCCTGCTCCTTCCCGAACCTCCTGAGACTTGTGTGTGTGGGTGTGTGTGTGTGTGTGTGCGTGTGTGTGTTGGAGGGGGTGTGGAGGTGGCAGAGATCTGCCTGCCACTCAGGAATGCGGGTCCCGTTGTTGGCCTTCTGTTTTCCAAGCCTAGGCTGAGATCATGTGTAGAGGACAGTTCCGGAAAAGGCAAATACCCACCAAATCCTGTCTGCCTCCTGCACTCCTAACTTCTGGCCCAAGCAACTTGCCCACAGGGCCCCACTGTTCTCCCAAAGGGAGTAAAACAGGAGCCCGGAAGGAAGAGGCTGGCCTGCGCACACAGACTTAAGGCTGACCGGGACGGCCTGAGAACCAGGGACGGGCCCCCCGGCAGTGACTTCACATCTACTGGAGTCGCAGGTGAACGGCAAGAGGGAGCTGCTGGAGCTGCGGCCCCTTTTCTCCTTTAGGGTCTGTGGCCTGGCCTCTCCCTTCCACAGTCTAGCCTTTCTTCAGGTTCTTTCTTCACAGTTCTCCACCGGTACACCCCCCCCTCCCCCACGGATGTTGGGAGTGCCGGCTGGGTGGGGTCGTCGGTGTTGATCGAAAGCCGACAGGTGCCAGGCACTGGTGACGGGCACACACTGACCAGCAGGGCCATATTCTGAGTTCCTGGACTGATTCACTGAGTTAATCAACATTTATTGAGCACACGGTGGAGGTGGTGGGAGGAATTAATTCCTGGGCTTCCTGCACTTCCCAACAGCAGGGGGAACATTCAACAAGGCTGCAGAGGCCAGGGAGCCAGGCAGAGCTCAGGCCCTCTCACCCTCACCGCCCGGAGGGCTCACTGGGTAGCCAGCCTCGGTGGCCTCTCCTGCCACCCTCTCTGCCCCTGCTTCGGAGCTACCAAAGTGCGCCGCGGCTTGGGAGCGGTGGGCGCGTTTGGAAAGGGGAGGTGCTCTCTGAGCTGCTGTTTCCCATCAGGCTGTCCACTCTTCACGATTGCCCACATGCCAGAAGCACCGGGAAACAGAGACTGCAGGCCACCGACTTGGAAGATCCAGCCCAGTCACGACTGTGAGATAAATGACACCTGTTTGTCATTGGTAGCCCCACCCCCCCCAACCCCGCTCCCGCCCCAGCTCCTAAGTTCCTCTCAGGTTCTGTGGCCTCTTCCCCCCAACAGACCACAATCAAAGGAGAAGTGGCTACTTGTGAATTTGACAGTGAATACACTTCCCTCAGGGCATTCCTGTTGGAAGCCTTCCATCGAGAAGGGGAAGGCTTTCTCGTTCCACATTCAAGGAACTCTGGGCACCACAGAGCTGGCAGGGGTTTCAAGAGGCGGCAGCTGGTGAGTGTGGCCTTGGAGCGAAGCAGGACTCCGAGAAGAAAGTGGGACAGTTCCACAAGTGGGCTGCGTGGCCGCTGAGTGTGCACCGAAGTCTCAAGATTCCCCCCCCCCCCCCCCCCCGCCCCAGAGATAACATGAGAGAGGAAAGGCGATGGGTGACCTTGAGCAAATTGCTTGGCTTCTCTATTTCCTTAGCTGTAAAATAATCCTAGGCATTTGGCTTGCTGTGAGGTTTAGAGATCATTAACATAAATTTCCAGCAGTTAATGACATTGTATTTGATGCAGAAAATGTGTCCCTTTCAAAAATCCTGGACCCTTCCCTTTATGAAACGAGTAACCAGAGGCCATTCCCCCCTAAAAAGGGGCACAAACAGGTGGCAATAGTGAGGCATCACAACCACAATTTATTACCCAAAGTAGTCTGAGGGATTCCAAGCATCGGTCACGGCCCTCCCCAGTCACAAGAAAGCCAGAGCCTCTTCAAACTCAGCCTCCACTCCCAGCTGAAGGGAAGGATTAAAAGGCTGCAGGTCAAGTTATGTCACCACTACAATATCCTCATTCTTGACTAATAATCTCAAAGTCACAAATGGGCATCCAGTGATTTGCACCCAAATCTTACACAGGAAAACCCTACGATTAAAATAAGATGGGAGAGATCATTCTGACAGAAAGATACCAAGAGCGTTCACGGTCTATGAGAAGGAGGAGTGAATTCTGTTTATAATCACCAGAATTTAATGGAATTGTCTATCATCAGTGAGTGTGAAGAGAATGCTCACCCTGTGGGGTGGGAAGACAAGTGCACTGGCCAAACCCTCCTGGGTAAGTCTCCCAGGAGGACTCCCCTTGACTTGCCTTAAGGAAGGAGCCTCCTGGTTGCCTAGTGACAAAGGAGCCCAGAGTGTTGGCCCCTGAATGCAGAAGGGTGGGGGTGGGGAGTGTGGGGAAGGCAGTTTAATTTACACAGAGTTCTCGGGAGCTGAAGAAGAGGAAATCTTCCAGCAGTATTGAGAACTCTCCTGACTATTTCTACAATTGGGGAATGCAAGCTGGTGGGACCTCACTTGGGATTTCATTTTTGGGGTTTTTTTTTTTAGTTGATTTAAAAATGATCCTAGACCCAGTTCCTTAAAGTCTCCTTTTATCATCAAACCAAATGGCACTTAATGTCTAGAAATGTTGTGCTCTAAAAACTGCTGACAGTCCTTCATCCCAGACCCTGAAATGAGATTTTTCATGGAAATTAATTTCTGTGCCAGTTGAGTCTGGATAAAGTTGTCTCTTCATAATTTAGCTCCCACCACCATCTGGCCGTTCACTGTGGAACCAGGAACCCAATGGGCAGATTTCTTTCCTTACTTAACCAGGCATTCCAGGAAGAAGGGGAATTCCCCAGCACCTGCCTAACAAACTCTGTTCTACTTGCTGAACTTTGCTCTGTATGAACAGTTAGGTCACTCTGGCTACAAATTTCCCCAAACTCTCCCTACTTGTATTTTTAAGGCACACCAATTCCTCTGTGTAAGGCTCTCTGCTTATAATGAATTATTTTAATTATTCTTGCTACTCAAAAGAAACTTCTGCATCACAGCCCTCCCCTGCCCTGAGATACTGGCAGTGGGGTGGGGATGAGGGCAGAGCCCAATTCATATTAGGGGTTCTGGTCCTTGGGGTCGCACTTGAGCATGACTTTCAACCCCAATCCCTTTCTGGCTGTTTCAAAGGCTTCCAGAGCTTTCTCCAGGGGGAACCTATGGGTGACTAAGGGCTTTATGTTCACAGACTTGGAGGCAAGCATCGAAATCGCCATCGGCCACCTGTAAGAGATCACAAGTGTTACATTCAACCTACAGGAGGACAGAACCAGGTCCCCAAAACCACCAAGCACAAGATCAGCTTGGCCATATTTATTTATAGTGCTGTGTTTCTACAAGGTCTATTCTACAAACAATGGTAGAAATGATCTTATGACCTGCAATATGGGAGTACAGGGTCTGTTCCCAAATGCCTCCACCCCTCTGCAATGTCTGTCACGGAGCCTAGAATTCCTTTGGCATGAAGACATAAGGCATATGGAGACCACTGTGGAAAGGGAGATAAGCCTCAGAGAGGCAGCTGATGATAATACATCTGTATCCCTTTGCAGAGTTTGGCTTGGCAGAGTTTATTGGAAAATGGCATTCTGCTGACGGAATGGCCACAGACTGTAACGGTGGGAAGAGGGACACTGCTGGGGACGGTGGTCCTGGGAAAACTGCCTGGTTGGGGAGAGGCTAGAGCCACAGAGCATGAGGTGGGGTGAACTAAGACCCTCTCACTTCCCAAGGTGGGCCCTGAGGCTCTGGGGTGGAAACCAAGGGACCTGAGTTTTTGCTGTTGTCCCCCTTTCTCTCCTTCTTCCCTTTAAAGGGAGAAAATGAAGAGCTGGCCACTTGAGGAAATGAAGACGAGAGGGCCTGGGTGATGAGGGGCAGATACCCAAGAAGAGCACGCTTTAAGATCCCCCACCTTCCCTCCTTCCCTCTGCCATCTCTGCCTTCCTGTTTTTTAACCAGGAGTGATGCTCTCTCTTTGGATCCCTACCATGACAGGTGGCTGTCAGTGTGGCTAGGGAGTGCCCTTCATGAATAAACGGGAGAGACTCTTGGTCCCAGAGGCCGTGCAGGGGTCCTGCTGGCTGCTCACCACCCTGGCTCACCCACAACATACTCACGTGTTGCAATATCGAAACACGCCCTTGATATCGACCTCCCGGATGGCCGCATGCACCAGGGGCACGGTGGTCATCTCGGAGCCCAGCCCTACGAGCACCAGGGTCCCACCAGAACGAGTAGCCTGAAGAGGAGATGAGAACAAGAAAACCCAGACCAGAAAATGCAGACTTCTCACTCAAAATGACTTTTGTCACATAAATATCTGTTTGCATCAGGTGAGTATCCAAATATTCCAGAGAATACGATTCTTTCTCTACTGTTGAACTCTTCCATATGTTGACCAAACTTAACAGAGCAGCAGAGTTATCTTTAAGGATCCTGAAGTCACACACTTTACCAGTGGGGGACCAGGCACAGTGGGAGCCCCTCCAGCCCCCGAGCATCTCTAAAGCTTTACTAATTCCGTACCAGGTGCTGGCTCAGGTAGCTCCTCATCTCAGCCCCCACCCCTCCTCCAGAATGTCAATGCCACAAAAGACGGGACTTTTGTCAAACCTCTAAGGAACCACCCTCTCGGTGAGGAAACTACCAAGCACATACAAATGGGGAGGGCCACTAGAATTCTGTGGCTTGAACATTGCCTTATTCATGCAAGCTGGCTGACATTTAGAAACATTTTTGTTCCAGAGACATTCATCCCAATAGTATCCTCAATCACAATGGATTTTGTCTTCCTTGAACATCTATCTGCTTTATCAGTTCCCTCCTTGGAGTGGACCAGACATGGAAATTTCTCCCGATAATCTCCACATGATTCCACATGAGTGTTGTGCCTGCTCCAGAGATTTTTGGAGATCACTGTGGTCAACGTTGTGAGGGACAGGAAAATAGTTCACTTGCCTCAGTTTTCATGACAGTTGGCAGGAACAAGCACTTACTGGAACCATTCTAAGTTTAATGAGCAGAGCTGCAAAGGGGCATCCACCACAACCTCTATCTCTGAGGGGAAGGATACACCATGAAGAGAGGCCTGCAGGACAGGGGTGACTCTGGAATTTACACTTTTGAGCTGTGGGATCCTCTCAACCAGCTTCTTCATGTGTAAGATCAGGATGATGCCTCCCCAGCAGGGCGGTTGGCCTAACAATCACAGTGCTCAGCACTTGGTTGGGCTCATGGTTTGGCACGTTTTCTGTTTTTACTGAAGCACAGAGTCACTTACAAACCACCTGTGATTTATGAACCCTGGTAAGGGGGGAGGCTCTCTCCCCACTGGAAAAGGTAGGGTGGGGGCGGGATCAAAGTTGTGACTGAGCCACCGAAAACTCTTTTGAGTGAGAAATTTCCTTGGAAAACTGTTTCCCCATCAGCATTTCCTCTCCACCTAGTCAGAAGAAGGAGGAATACTGCCAGACTGGAGGTGCCAGGAGGCCAGCAGTTTGCTGACCACAGACAAAGGAACACTTGGACTACCTGACCATTGTTTTGTGGGTGTGACCTCTGCACCAAGATGACACGAATTCTACCCTGAGCATTTGCCACGTCTCCTCCCAAACATTTTCTAGTCACAAATCTGGCAGGAAAGTAGCTCTCAGGTATGTCCATATAAGGTGCCACCACCTAACCTGCCCACTGGCAGGGTGGCCTGCAGTATCCTGTAGCATCTGTCATGCACAAGGGCTCCACCCCTCACTCAGGACAGGGCAGGCCCTTGGGTCACATTTACCTCTGCACCCACCTCAGGGAGCCTGGCAATTGGGCCCCCACCATCAACAGCTGGAGATAGATGCCAACTGTTCCCAGTGCCCTCCAGGCAGCAGAGAAGGGGAAGAAAGTCTTGCATGGGGAAGCCATGTTTTTTACTGCCTCTCTGTGGAGTGGGGGGGTCACTGACTGCCAACAACTTGAAGACAGTTAGACATGCCTTATGCATCATAGCTCCTAAGGACCCCGGCACAAAGCCAGGACACAGCAGGTGCCCAAGACATGTCATTGGTCGACTGATCACACACAGACCCATCACCCTCTGAGTTTCAGGGTTCTCTTTGCCCCTTCCCACAAGGCAGCCGGTACTTCTGACAGTGGAGCAGAGGGTGGGCCAGCTCCAGCTGCAACTTAGGACAGAGCGAGAGAAAGTGGCACCTGTTCCTCTCCCATCCCACCACCCCTTCCTCACCCCTGATGCCAGGGGCATCCTGGTGGGAAGATGGCGAGACAGTTTGGCCTGGGTACCAGGTCAGCTTTCCTCAGAAGGTCTGGCATGCTGCAAATGCCCTTCTGCATGACCCAGCTGTGACTCAGAAGGAAGGAGGAAGCCCGTGCCGCTGTGGGACAGCAGTGCGGGCGGCAGGGCAGGAGTGCCCAGGGGTGGGAGCTCCTGCTACCGCCCTCCTCCACCCCATCCCTCCCGTCCGAGCACGGCTGCCCACTGGCTCCTTGGGCCCTGTTTCCCTTCTCTCCTAAGCGGTGGACAGGGTGAGACACACTCAGACACCGGAGCAGTGTGCTCGAGGCAAGTCACCAGGCCTCCCATGGAAAAATGTGGAAAGGGGTAACGAGTCTTCATGGCTACAGTGCAGACCTGACATCACATTTACAAAGCCCCCAGCAGAAGACCCAACACACAGTAGGGCTGGAACCTAGAAGGTATTCTTTCTCCCCTCATTTCATCATACTTGGATCCCTCAACGCCACTCCCCACCCATGTGTGTGCCCTGCCCTCCCCCACCACCCCCCATTTCCACCAACTTCCCATAAATTCTGGGTGGGTCGCTGAGGGGCAAATCAGGTATTGGCAGCTTACCCTCTCCCAGGTCTGGGAGACAAGAGTAGTAGCCAACTGTGGCCCTGAAAAACCACCCCACCTTCGTGACTAACCAAATTAATGGCTGTTGCTTTGTATCAGTGACTCAAAGACTGCCGTTTTCCTCAATAAAGGAAGATAGGGATTTCCCACACACAACTAAAGCATGGTTTCCTGTTCCTCCTGTTGATTTTTTTTTTCCCCCAAGAGTCCTTTTATGATGAGATATGATCACTTCAGGGGTGGGTCTCCTAACATCTTTCAACGGCCATATACACCTGTTACCTCATTTAAGCCTCACAATGACCCAGTAAGGAAGGATGTGAAGCAAGTGAGCTAAAACAAATAAACAAACAAAAACCAGAGATACCAAGGTCACCTCGTTTTGTCCAGGGGCCACATAGTAAGGTAGCGGAGATGCCCGAGTCCAGCACCCCTTACCGCTGCCTACCGGGTGCTGACTCCCCAAAGCTGCGCACCAGCGCCTCATCCAACTCACATAGATGCCTGACTGGATGGCGGGCTCTGCCCCTGTGCACTCGATGGTCACTTCCGGCTTGCACCCCAGCAGATCTTCCACTTTACTGGCAATTTCCTTAGGGCTCTCCTTGGAGATCTGGAGGACGATATCAGCCCCTACTTCCTTGGCTTTGGACAACCGAGAGGCAGACAGATCTAAAGTGGAACAAAAGTTTCTTTCAAACTGAGAACTGGATGGCGGATTAGGGAGAAAAAGGTGGAAGGGCAGGTTTTAATGGTAGTGAAGCTCCAGTGTAGTGGGTGGTGCCAATGAGCCCAACACACATACTCTCTACACCTTCACACACCCCTATACACACCACACAGCCGCCCCCACACACACTCTCCCTCCCCTTCCCCCACCCCTCACTCAGATCACTTCTCAAACATCCACACTGTTCTACACCCCCCCACACCCCATACACACCACACAGCCACGCACACACTCTTTCTCTCCGAAAGGTAACTGCTCCTCATACATACACTCTCAGATAACTTCTACACACACTCTGATACCTTCTTTGCACACAAAACACATTCACTCGCCTATATCCCTACACAACTCTACACACTTACCCACACCTGCACTCTCACAGATACCTTTACACACACACATTCTCTCTCACAGATGTCTTCTCCACACACACCCTTCTATACCCTACATGCTTCCACACATACTACACTGACCCACACGTGCTGTCACAGATAAGCTCTCCTCACACATACACACATCTCCTGCCCATACCACACACCTCACACACAAACACCCTTTTATAAACATATACATCCCACTAACTCCACATCACAAACACACACACACACACACACACACACACACAAGCACACATTCTGTGCCTCCTGAGTTTGGCCAAATGGACCAAGGGCGAAGCCTCTTAGAACCAAGTGAGCAGTAGGGGCATCTGAGGTCCACACATAAAGAGCCAGCTCGTCATCTCCATATCATCTTAACCCTGGAACCCAGGGGAAAGAAGGAGGAGCCCCTTTAGAAACCCAGCACCCCAGGAAGGGAAGAGTTCTTATGCCCTTGCTCCAAACTATAAGCCAGCTGTTTCCTCTTCAAGGAGATTTTTTTTTATTATTATTTACTATTTACTTAGAGAGAGAGAGCACAAAAGCAGGGAGGGGGAGGGGCAAAGGGAGAGGGAGAAGCAGGCTTCCTGCTGAGCAGGGAGCCTGACTTGGGGCTCGATCCCAGGACCCTGAGGAGAGATCATGACCTGAGCTGAAGGTAGCCGCTTAACGACTGAGCCACCCAGGCTCCCCCTCTTCAAGAAGATTTAAAAAGAAAACCTTCTTACCAGTCACCAGCACTTGAGCTGCACCCATTGCCTTGGCCACGATCAGAGTGACCAGTCCTATTGGCCCTAAATAAAGCAGAAAATGGGAGATGTTTGTGAAATATTAAACATCAGCTCTCCCCCCCTTGTCCAGGCCATGGACAGGAACCATATCTTTTGTGCACCTCTAGCATCTATCCCAGTGCCTGACACATAGTGAGACCTTAACAGCTGTTTGAATGCATAAGTAAATGACTATATGAAGAACTGTTCTCTACATGAAATTTTGCTCCTAGTGTTGAGTTCTATTTAATTCTCTCAGACCTCAGAGTTAGAAATTTGCCATTTACTCTTGGACACTGCTTAGGGATAATGTCAAAGAACCAGAGGGCTCAAGGAAACATATATTTGTTAAGAGAATAAGATGTCTCAGAAGGTCTGGATACATTGTCCTGTTCTCTCTTTGACCCCTACTTTCTTACTACCCATCACATCTCCCCAAGGAGAGACACAGCCTTTACAGGTGCCCTCTGAGAACTATCTTGGAGGGTGTCATTAAGTGAACTGGCTCCCTGGGGTGACCCAGCTGCTCAGGCAGCTCTAAGTTGTGCAGATGCCTAAAAAATCAGCCCAGAGACCACCTGCTTCCCACACTATCTGCATGCTAGATGATACAGTTTTAATACAAACAAACAAACAAAAAAAATCAGACCCACAAAATGAAGCTATGCAGATTATCTTTGAGGATTGGCTTTTTGACAGTGCCTTTGCAAATAATTTTGTGAGTTCCCCCCAAAATCAAAACACTGGAACATACTTGAAATGATCAACAGAGGTGATTAGCTAAACAAACTATAGTGGGGTACTACATAGCTCTTAAAAATCGTGTCATAACTCTCTTATTTAGTGGTATGGAAAGATGTTCATAATATATTGATTTTTGTCTTTATAAAAGATAAAATAAAGTGTGTTTAGCATGATCTCATTTTAGAAAAACCTGAAGGATTCTACATCAAAATATTTACAGTGGTTCTCTCAGGCTGATAGGTGATGGAGCTATGGGTGAATCTCTCTGCGTGTATGTACACATGTGGGATGTGTGACTTCTTTTTCTATGTCAAAAAGGTATTACTTATGTGGATTTAACATAGATGTGTCACCTGAACACTACACTCTGTTAGCTCATTGAGGCAAGTCTGTTCTATACCCATCACCTCTCTTAGAAAGCCCTGTAGTCATTTATTTGGCCCTGTCATAATCAGTCCTGAAAAATGTATGAGGACTAACTCAAAATGGATTAAAGACTTGAACATCAAGACCTAAAACCATAAAACTCCTAGGAGAAAACAGGCCATAAGCTCCTTGACATCAGCCTCGACATGATTTTTTGGATTTGAGCCCAAAGGCAAATGCTTTCTAATAAAAGCAGAAATGAACACGTGGGACCACATCAAACTAAAAAGCTTCTGCACAGCCGAGAAAACCATCAACAAAATGAAAAAGTCAACCGACCAAATGAAAAAAAAATTTGCAAATCATATCTGATAAGAGGTTAATATCCAAAAAATACATAAAGAACTCCTACAACTCAAGAGCAAAAAAACCAAGCAATCTAATTTTAAAAAGGGCCAAGGATCTATAGACATTTTCTTTTCTTTTTTTTTTTTTTTAAGTAATCTCTACACCCAGGGTGCATGCCCTACTGACGGAGTTAGCCAAGCACGCTTAAGCAGACACCTTCCCAAAGAAGACAGACAGATGGCCGACAGGTACACGGAAAGGAGCTCGACATCACTCAGCATCAGAGAAATACAAATCAAAACCACAATGAGTTATCACCTCACACCTGTCAGAATGGCTACTATTAAAAAGACACAAAGACACGAAATAGCAAGTGTTGCAGAGGATGTGGAGAAAAGGGAACCCTCATGCACTGTTGGTAAGAATGTAAATTTCCAACCACTATGGGAAACAACATGGAGAGTCCTTACAAAATTAAAAATAGAACTACCATATGATCCAAATAATTCCACTTCTGAGTATTTATTTGAAGAAAATGAAAAACACTACCTCAAAAAGATATATGCACCCCCATGTTCATTGCACCATTACTTACAATAGCCAAGATATGGAAACAACCTAAGTGTCCATCCATGGATGAAGAACAAAGAAAATGTGGTATATATATATATACACAGTGGAATATCACTCAGCCATAAAAGGAAGTCTTGTCATTTGTGACTGGACTTTGAGGGCATTATGCTAAGTGTAATAAGTGAGACAGACAAATACTGTATGATCTCACAAACATGTGGACAAAGCTCACAGATACAGAGTACAGATTGGTTGCCCGAGGGGGGTGGTGAGAGATGAGTGAAATAGGGTCAAAAGGTACAAACTTCCAGTTATAAAATAAATAAATCACGGGGATATAATGTACAGTGTGGTGATAATAATACCACATTGCATATTTGACAGTTACTAAGAGAGTAGATCTTAAAAAGTTCTCATTGCAGGAAAAAAACACTTTGTAACTATATATAGTGACAGATGATAATTGGACTTATTATGGTGATCATTTTGTCATATATACGGATATCAAATCATTACACTGTACATCTGAAACTAATGTAATGTTATATGTTAATTATGCCTAAAAAAAAGTGTATGAGGAACACCAGATCACACCCATAAAGAGCATGAGCATGCTGTCTGTGTCACTAGCATTAGATACCTAGAATGTTTCAGTCTGAGGCTGCTAAGGTTTGTTCGGGTGGCTGGAAGCAGGGAAGGAAAGAAGGCAGCCACCTGCGACCCCAAAAGGCAGAGTGCTGGCTCACAGTGAGCCGGACTCCATTCTTTCCACTGGCTATGACACCTCATTCCTGGATGGACCAGGAGACCACTTCTCTGGTATGATTTGAGAGTTCCAAAAGTTGCCCTTCCCTTTACTACCAAAAATATATCCCTCGTTTCCTGCTGAGTTAAAAAATAATTCCAAATTGCATTCTTTAAATGACCAAAACGGTTATGTTGCCTGGGAAATAACCTGAGTTACTATTATGTCTGCAGACGGTTTATTTAGCAGTGTTGGTCACCGAGGGAAAGGGACATGGAACCCTCCCCTGCCTAGAAAGAGTCTAGGACCAATTTCAGCCACTGGAGGGGGAATGAGATGGGCAGAGGGATCTCCACATTCCCCTTTAATGAACTCATAACCAGGGTGTCATCTGTTTCTTACCAGCTCCACACACAAAGACCTTGTTCCCCAGGGTGATTCCAGCTCGCCGGCAGGCATGGATCCCCACAGAGAGGGGTTCAATCAGGGCCCCTTCTTCAAAGGTGACATTGTCAGGAAGCCTGGGGTGTCATTCAACACACTCAGTTAGTCCCTCTGGGTTAATAATAACAAGAGCTAATATTTATTGAGCATTTATTTATGTGCTAAGCAGTTTACATATATTCACTCACACAAATCCTTGGAAGAGTTCAAGGGTAGGTACTAATATTCCCATTTTACAGACAAGGAAACAAAGCCTTGGAGAATTAAATGACTTTGGTTCAAAACTAGTAAGAGGCTCGAAGGATGTGAAATGGAAACCAGATACGCCTGATTCCAGAGCCCAGGCCACACTGCCCTGCTCTGAAAATGGTTTTCTTTGGACAAATCACTGCGGTGAATGTGAACACATTATGTTTTCTTTAACACGTTGTCCAAGACAAGGTATGGTGTAGCTGTCATTAATAAATAATGAGAAGTTCATCTAACAAGAGGTTAATATAACCACATGCCAGCATTTCATCTGCTTCTCAAACTTAACGTACAGCCTTTCTGGTTTCACCTCAGCAAACAATCCCAACTATCAGCAGCTTTGCAAAACAGTGATTTAGAAGCTGGTGTCATTCTGTTGTCCCTGTATGGTGTGTTCCAGAAGAACCACATTTGATGGCAGCAGCTGCCTGGCTGTCCCTGGACCGGTCATGATGGGAAAAGGGCCTGTCTTCCAGGCAGATGATTAAATGTTGTATCACCTTCACCACAGGGTTCTTGGTTTTCACTGTGTCCATTTGACCCTATTACCCATCCCACTGATGATGACAGCAAACATTTGCATAAGGCTTACAGATTAGAGGGCTTTTTCATCCATTATCTCATTTGATCCTCACCATGACCTTGTCAGGAAGGAAGGAAGGGCTTTATTTTTACCTTTATTCTACCGAAGAGGAAACTGAAGTCCAATGACATTCAGAGACTTGCCCAAGTTTACAAGGCTAATGAGTAGAAAAGCAAGACTTGAAGCCAGGTCTCCTCCTTCCACACCCCGCCTGCCCCATATTAGCTGCCTCCTACTACAAGTGGCTCTGTGGATATCTCATTTCTGCATGGTCCTCACTGTCCAGTATTTTTATTCAGTGCCCCAAACCTGCACATGCTAGAACATAAAATTCCTCAAGTTCCAAAAAGAAAGAAAGGTGGCAGCCAAGCCAAGTGCTCATTCCCATGATGTGTCACAGAATAATGAGGCCCGAAGCCGGCCTGCCTGCTGCCCTGCCTTCTCCCCGCCCCCCCCCCACCCCTCTGCTTTTCCCCCACAATCCTCCCACTTCAGTCCTCTCCTGCTCGGATTGCCGCCATCACCCCTTCTACCCACACCACCCACCCCATCAATTCTGTAAAAGGGACAAAAGTTTGAAATGAAATAATGAAGACTCCCAAATTCTCCCAAGGAACCGCCAACCACTCTCAGACTAGCCTGCCCCTTCACCTCTGGGATTCCTCCGAAGCTTGTATGGGCTCTGAGCAGAGGGTGGCCTTTGGTCAGGACTGGTGCGCTCCTCCCACCTTCGCTCTGAGTTCCCCTTGGCAGGAGAACACCCAGGAGAAATGGGATTGAGATGGCGATGGTGGAAGATTGTGATGGAGAGATTATGCTCCTGATGAGGCAGAAGCACCAGGCAGAGTCCTAGGCCCAGCGCCTTTGCCACTGGTCTTCGGAGAGTCACTGGGCCCTCCTTCCCCGACCTTATTTGGTGAGGATCGAGGGAGAGGGAGGATGAGAGCGCCCTAAGTTTCTTCTCAGCTCCAATCAATCATGACCAGAGAATAAGACAACTTGGTGGTTTTCCCAATAGGGTTGAAGGAATAACAAAAGGGTAGAGGATGATCAAGAAGCCAAGGGGGAAACAGGAAGATAAGAAGGAAGAAAATAAGGTGGGGAGGAAAATAAAGAGGCCGTGGCAGTACAGGAATCCTCACAAAGAGACCAGAGAGGAGGATGTGGGTCCAAGGCTGGTGTGCGCAGACATGAGCAGAAAGCACCCTGGGAGAAAGGAGAGGTGGGGGGGTTGCCTGTCCGCTCCTCAGCCCTCCCATTAACAACGCCAACAGAGCACACCCTCCCCACCATGCCCTACAAACCCCATCCTCCCAACCCCAGTGCAAGGCTTCCTTTCAGACCTGACCTATCCCCCAGACACAAGGCCGTGGCTATGCCATAGCATGGCCCCATTTACTGAGCGCCTACTGTGTGCCAGGCCTCGTGCTGAATACTTGATATGCTTTTCTCATTGAATTCTGTCAATAATTCTATGCATTTCATCATCTCGGTGCTATTATCGTCTCCATTTTCCAGGCAAGGACGTTAGGTTACAAAGTTTAACTCGCTGAAGGTCACACAGCTGGTAGAAGGCAGAGACCAGTGGTTAGTCTTCAACATTACCATTTTGCTTTTCTGCCTCTCATGAAAACCTTGTTTGGTGCCTCAACTTGGAAAGCGCCCCAAGTGGGCTGGTTCAGGAACCACTTGCTGAAAGGTGGACTCTACCCAGGTAACCTGTTTTCTTCTAGAGCAGTTAGGTGTTGACTTAAACCCATCACAAGGTCTGGCCTGTGACTCTCTCAAGGCTTCCAGGGGGCACTAGAAAACTCAGATCTGTCAGACTGCCCCTGTGACTGGCACCTGGCCTCCTTCAGGCAAGCCCCATCCTGGCCAACAGAGCCACAGCTGGGGCCAGGCTGGGAGGGAGGAAAACACACCTGTTAGAAGGCCAGAAGGAAAGTGGTGCATCAGCACCCACGGCTCCGTGGGCTGGGACCTGTGCAGAAGGGGCAACACTTTGCTTCTGCCGGATACAAGTTCTCCCCCCAAAACCATCTGGAGAGCTGGGATAGGGTAGTGAGCACAGGGCAGGAACTTAAGACTCACGGCTGCCCCAGCTTGCCTCCTGGCTCTGCTGTGCGCCCGATTAGCCTCCTCCGTCCGGCCTCTGCACCCCTGCACAAAACTGCTACACTGGCCCACCTCACTGCTGTTCTTACGAACATTAAGTCAGATGAAGCCTGCAAAGCACTGATGAGCACACGGCCAGGCACGGGGTACTTATAACTGTGACTCCATGACTCCACATGCATTGCCTTATTGGGTCTTCAGCTGACTAAATGAGACTGAAGCAGTGGAAGGGGACGTCATTTCCTCAAAGTCACTCACTAGGAGGGAGTGGATCCAGGGTCCCAGAGCTCACGCACTGGCTCCAGGCCACGCTTCCTCAGTAAACCCCAGTGGCTGTTGTTACTGGTGTTGTGACCAGGGTCACTGCTGTAATAAGTTCTCTTTCCTGGGAGCTGCCTTGGAAACCAGTAATGGAGGACGAACCACAGCAGGTTATCTGCAGGATACCTGGAGGGGAGCGAGTGAGTTCAGCAACAATTTTCTAGGTGTTGCCCTAGGTGAGGGGAGCTTCAACTCAAAGACTAAACCAAGTGCTGTGAGTCAGTCTCAGCCCTAGGCAAGCTACCTTCCCTCAATGCCACCAAGAAGGACCTGTCGATGGGATGCTTCATGTCTGGAATTATGAGCTAAAAAGAACAAAGAAATCACCACAGGAAACTCGAAGAAAGAACCCCAACCAAACGGAGGTGGGGGAGGTCCCAGGTGGCCCAGCTGGGCCTCGGGCACTAACTTGTAGCAGAAGTCAGCGTTGTGCTTATAAAACCGGCAGAGGTTCCCGTCATCAGGGGGCGTGGCACAGAAGAAGATGGATGGCGACAGATTGTACCGGCCAATCTTGCAGAATTCATCCATTTCTCGCAGAGCGCCAGGCTCGATGGCAACACGATCCCCTGAAGAGGAAAACGCGAGCAGGGGCAGAGCTTCTGTGAAGGGGCATGTGCTCCTGGGCAGGTGCCAACAGGGGACTCTGGCCCAACGAGCCACCCCCTACCTGGGATCCAGGGTGCCCCAGACAAGCCCAACCCATTAGAGCTGCCACAGAAAACTTGGGATGCAGCACAGAGTCACACTCTGGGAGAGAGTGACCAGCATACTTCTCCACAGACTGGCTCTGCCTGCCCTTTCACCCACTCATGGAACAAGCCAACCCCCTCTCCCCTCAGCTCCATAACTACTTCCCAGCTTGGGAAACAGAGAACCAGCCCCAAATCCAAGGCAAGCCAGGACCCATCTCAAGCTGCTGTGTGGGGTTTGCAGACTTTTTTTCCTTCACCTGCTTTGCAAATATGGGGCAAGGCCTTTATAAACACAAGAGCCACAATTATGGCATGTCTTATGTTCAGTCTGGTTGTATTTAGACAATAACTAGGAATTGACGGATTCATGGGTTAGCAGACTGGCTCGGGCAAATGACCCACAGAGGTCTGGGACTCCAGTGAAGAATAACATTCAGGCTTGTGAACTAGTGTACTTCTCCTCTGTCTCACTGTGCCTCCTTGGAAACCCAGCCTTGGAAGTGCTCTTCTATCTTTCCATTATGGAAATTTTCCAACATGCATTAAAGTTGAAAGAACTGTACAGCGAATACCCAGACATCCTCTGCTTTGATTCTTCAATTACTATGGAGCTAATTCGCTTCATCACATATTTACCCATCCATCCCACCTATCCATTTCTCCTCTGTCCATCGCCCCATCTTCATTCCTGATGCATTTCCAAGTAGGATGCAGCCATTAGTATACTCCACGCTTCAATACTTCAGCCTGCATATCGTTAACCAGAGTTCAATACTTGTCTCTGGTTCTTTTTTAAGGTAAAGTTTAGGTATGGATAAAATGCACAATCTTACATGGATCACTAGATGAATTTTTTTTTTAAAGATCTTATTTATTTGACAGAGAGAGAGAGACAGCGAGAGAGGGAACACAAGCAGGGGGAGTGGGAGAGGGAGAAGCAGGCTTCCCGCCGAGCAGGGAGCCTGATGTGGGGCTCGATCCCAGGACCCTGGGATCACGACCTGAGCCGAACGCAGATGCTAAACGACTGAGTCACTCAGGTGCCCCTAGATGAATTTTGATAAATGTACTCACCTGTGTAATATGAACCCCTATCATGATACAGAACATTACCACCACCTTGGAAATTCCTTCCTTTGCATACCTTCCCAGTCAATTCTCACCCCTTACCCCCAGAGGGGTGTGCGAGTGGAGCTGGGTCCCTCCTTAGCCTGACGCGTGTCACCCGTGGGAGGTTTGCCCTTTACTAAACAGATACATGTTAAGTTATTTGTATGTCTTTTTGTGTTAAAACTACCCACAGAAGAGTGCCAAGTCCTGGTACATAGTTAGTGCTCCTTAACAGCAGGGGTGGTAGTAGTCATGTAAGTACTGTTAACTATTTATATTGTATTTATTATTATAACTATCTGAGCTGGTGTTATTGAACAGGAAATTCACACTATAAGATAGATAGCCAGATTGTATATAAGTTAGGAATTCTTCCATGCCTTAGATTTATTGATTCTTTAAGATTTAAGTTAAAATTTTAGAAACAAATGTTAAGAACTACTCAGTGAGTGCTTTTCTTCTTTCTAGACTAGTTGATTAGACCTTTCAGTCCAAATCAGCATATGAAACACTTCAGTAAAAATTTTGTGTTCTAGGGACGCCTGGGTGGCTCAGTTGGTTATGCCTTCGGCTCAGCTCATGATCCCAGAGTCCTGGGATCAAGTCCCATATCCGGCTCCTTGCTCAACGGGGAGCCTGCTTCTCCCTCTGCTGCTCCCCCTGCTTGTGCTCTCTCTCTCTCTCTCTCTCTCTCTGAGAAATAAATAAATAAAATCTTCAAAAAAAGGATCTACAGAAATCCCTGCAACCACCAAAATGTGTTGCTCCACCTGTATGTGTCCCTCTCCACTTTCTCTGCAGCCCTTGTTCCAAATTATGTTCTACCATTGACAATGACTTCTTCAAGCTAGCATTCAAGATCCTTCATAATCAGGTGGAGTTTTGTATGCCTCAGTTTTGTCTTCTAATGATTACATTATAATAATATAATAACAGTTGAAGAGTGCTTTTTAAAGAGGGACTTTTATACAGATTATGCATTTTTAACATCTCCACTAACTCCCCAACACAGAACCTCTACTCTGAACAGCATAGTATTATTAGCACCCCAGATATACTACACTGGCCTCTGTAATTTTATTACTCTGTTCCTCTTAACCAGAATATTCGCTTCTGACCTCTTCACTAATTCAAATACAAAACCATTCTCAGGTCTCCAGCTGCTGGACAGCCCAGTGGTTCTGAGCACTTGCTTTAGAGTCAGCAAAACCAAGGTCGGTACCCCAGCTTGAGATTCGCTAGTGTGTGACCCTGGGCAGTCACCATGTTTCGCTTTCTTCATTTGTTAAGGAAGAAAATAATGCCTACCTCAGAGTTGTTTCAAGACTGAAATACATAATCATACATGCAAATATTTAACATGGAGACTAACAAATAGTAAATCAATGAGTATTAGCTGCCTTATTATTGTTAAATGTCCAGCTCAAAGACCTGTCTCTTCCATGAACCTCCTTTAAACACCTCTGCCCACAACAAATGCCCTTTCGTTGAACTGCTAGAGCCTATTCTTTTTCACACCTGATAGCTTCTTTTGGTCTTATTCTCTAATTACTGGTATTTATGTATGTCCTGACGTCTCATCTCCCCAACTAGATCAAAGTATCCAGGGATTGGATCTTCTCATTTTTCTGTATCTAAGCACTTATTATAACTTAAATTTAAAGAACCCCACTCTGTTATGATTAATATTAAGTGACCTCGTCCCACAGGTAAGAACCAATCAGTGGCTATTGGAAACTATGAATCTTCCTCTTTGGGATAACTCCACAAAACCTCAGGGGCTGCCTCGACTTCCATTCAGGATGAATGGAGGGTCTGACAGTGTTCCTAAGTGAAACGCAAGTCCAGCTTCTTCAGGGCTGGGTCATTCCTCTCCGTGTAGCTGTGCTCAGAGAGCCTTGTAACTGACACAGAATGGCATCTCCCGCCAATCTTCTCCTTGTCTCGAATAATCTGATGACCTCTCCAGGCTGTACAGTGTTCTCCTCAGCAAAGGAAGGATAAAGCCAATGGCTGGCCGTGTCACACAGCTGGGATTTAATTCACTGTGTTGGGGAACATCGCAGGCTGCCACAGCTGAGATTTCCTCCCTCCAAGAGAATGAAGTAAGCAAATCTAGAAAAGTATTGGTGGTTTTCCAGTCATCCAATAAGATCAAAGACTGTATCCAAGACCCTGTTTCTCAGCAGGTCGAGGCAGTTTGTGGTTCCTATGCCTGGAACATTTCGCCTACCCCTTTACCTGGCTTATCCCTCCACTGCCTTCAGATGTCAGATTAATTGTTCCTCCCTCAGAAGAGCCAGGGATCTGGTTAGAAGACACTGACCACATCGCTATTCTCTGTTGCCCTCAACACAACGGTAATTAAGTAACTGTATGTGTGTCCCAGGCCTGCCTTCCTCCCTGGAAATTTACAGTCCATGTGTGTAGAAACGGAGACTGTCCTGCTCACTGCTGTAACCCCCCCGGGTTTAATAGAGGGCCCGGCCCCAAGAAAGTACACACAAATATTCATTTATGTTGAGGAATAAATCAGTTAGTTGAAGGGTTCTGCTGACCTGGTTTTAGGTGCTTGACCAGTGATCCCACTTTTACGACTGTCCCTGAAGCTTCATGTCCCAGCACCATTGGCTTTTCCACAATAAAATTCCCAATTCGACCGTGCTGCCAGTAGTGGACATCAGAGCCGCAGATCCCGACGGAATGCATCTTCAGCAGCACTTCTGATAAGAAGAAGGAGGGAACACGTGAGGGGAGGAACGACCCCTCTGCAGTCTGAGGCGCCACCACGCTTCCCCTCAGGACAGGAAAACCAACCCTCTGGCTTGATTTCAAAGGCCAGGTACAGTATTTAGACCACAGAGGAAAACAAGCTAACCAGCAACACCAATTAAGGCTTGTAAGCCAAGAAAGCTTCCATAGAGCAAAATAATTGCCTTTGAGGGTTAATGTTATGTGTCAACTCAGCTAAGCTATGGTGCTCAGTTGTTTGGTCAAACAGTAGTTGTCGGGGCGCCTGGGTGGATCCATCAGTTAAGCGTCTGCCATCAGCTCAGGTCATGATCCCGGGGTCCTGGGATCGAGGCCCGTGTCGGGCTCCCTGCTCCGCCTGCTTCTCCCTCTCCCTCTGCCCCTCCCCCTGCTCGTGCTCTCTCTCCCTCGCTATCTCTCTCTCATATAAAGCAGATTACTCTGCCTAATGTAGGTGGGCCCCATCCAATCAGTTGAAGGCCCTAGGAGAAAAGACTGAGATTTCCTGAAGAAGGAATCCTCCAAGACTAAAGCATCAGCTTTTACCTCATTTCCAGCTTGCTGGTCAGCCCTACGAATTTCAGACTTGCCATCCTCACAATCACATGAGCCAATTCCTTAAAATAAATCTCCCCCACCCCTCTCTCTATAGACATATATAATAAACCTATATATAAATAAATCTATGCAACAAATCTTTCTCCTCTCTTTCTCGGTTCCGTCTCTCTGGAGAACTCTAACACACTGCATAAACAAGATATTATTAATAGGAAAAAATGTATCAGCCATCTAAGGGAAAAACTGTTTTTCTAGGAGATAACTGATTCCGCACAATTAATATGCTATGCCTGATTCTTATCTATCATGAGAGAAAGCCTGGCAAAATCTAGGCTTGGCAACACTTTGTGAACTCTCTTGATCTTCATGCCTGTTGTTTTGTTTAAAGGTGCAGCTTTAATTTAAACCATCCAAAGATGTCAAAGGGTATTTCCCCTTCACAGGTTTGAATAAGTGAGATTTGTTGGTATTGTTGTTGTCAGTTTTCCAAGTTAAAAATAATGATGCTACTGAAACCCTTTGCTAAAGTAAGTGCTAAAGGATTACTGGCCTAGTCTGACTAAGGTGACCATGTTGCAAGCATCTCCCTAAGAAAAAGCTCTGCCTTAGAAATACAAAGAGACCTAAAGCTCTGCTGTTCATTCAAGCGTCTTACACCCTGCCCTTGCCACAGATCACCACCCATCCACCCCAGGTGTGGCTCCATAGAAACTTCTCTGTCCTTGGCCTTGGTGACAGAGTAAGAAATGGCAGGGCACGGGGCAGGATGAAGGCTGAGATCAAGGTAGAGGAAATTATCTGAGTTTCCTCTCTTAAAGTTACCGATTTGTAATAAGAGATTAAGTTTGACTTGCTAGGATGCTAGCTGAAATTTACCATCCTTTCCCCTTCCAAATTCAAGAGCAGCAAGAGACAAGAAAGTAAGAGCAGAATGCTGCATCAGAGAGAGAAACAGTACCAGGGTCCTTTGAGTCCAAGACAGCCCTTGTTTGGCTACTTCTAGAATCAATACCAACTTTTCAGGACACAGTGAGGTGCCTCTTTCACTTCTCTGAACATGATATCTTGTTGAAAATGCTTAAGTCCTAAATATACATTACGTGTTGAACACTGATAGAAACAGCTATTGTCTTTATGTTTATCACCATAAATCAATAAGCCAGCCGACCTTTGAGTAGCAAAGGTCTGGAGGCTCCAGGAAACCTGCCTTCAATCCGATGTTCGCACAGAAACTACAGTTCTGGGGTAAGGTGGGGAAGCACATCCCCAACTCACCAAGGACAGAGAGGAGACCCGAGTGGCTGGGTATGGGAGGAGTTATCTATAGACACTCTTCCCCTCGCTCTCAGCCTCACTTCAGAGTCCTGCAGATTATGAAGCGGGACTCCAGGGATGGGAGGGATTCGAAAACTGTCAGCAGGTATCTGCCCCAGCCAACAGGAGGCATGACTTCCCCAGGTACATACACCACTCCAGGAAATGTGCTTGTCAACTGGGCCTTCCAGGCTTGCCCAGTGAGAGGCCAGAGCACTGGAACAAAGGTGGCAGGAAGGGACACCTGGGTGGCTCAGATGGTTAAGCGTCTGCCTTCGGCTCAGGTCATGATCCCGGGGTCCTGGGACGGAGCCCCGCATCGGGCTCCCTGCTCCTCGGGAAGCCTGCTGCTCCCCCCGCCCCACTCCCCCTGCTTGTGTTCCCTCTCTTGCTGTGTCTCTCTCTGTCAAATAAATAAATAAAATCTTAAAAAAAAAAAAAAAAAAGGTGGCAGGAAGCCTGCCCCAGAGCACTCACCCACTGTCTGCAGCTGGTTGATCAGGACTGTGGGGCCGCACCCCATGCTGCGCCTCCCATCCTCACTGGACAGAAGGCCCCCGTCTTCCTATACTGACCCACTCTTTCTGATTCAGAAATTAAGCTCTGTAGACTCACTCATTTTCAAAGCTCGGGTCAGGGTTAGGACGGGATTTGGCCACCCAAATGGCAGCTTATGGTAGATAGAGTAACCCAACTCTAGGTTAGGTCAAATGAGGAACAGCTCTGCCTTTGGTCCAGAAACACATTTTATGTCAGAAACTCTGGAACAAGTCAGCAGTCTGATATGGTAAGTCTTCTGCTGAATCTATCACTGTTTATTTCATGTGGCAGTCACGGTGAATCTATCCAGTCGTGTCGTGGATAACAGATGAGGTTGACAGCCTAACAGAAAGATAGTTTTTAATTGGAGGCAAAGTCATAAGTGGTAGGAAAAGTGGGGTAAGCAAGCAATGCCCAGGTGTCTTCAGGGTAAGTAATAAGAAACAATAAAATGAAAGTCGAGTATCCCAAGGACCTACCATTTGGGCCTGGTTCAGGGATAGGATAGTTCTCCTAAAGGAAATAAAAATAGAAAAATCATTTAGCATGCATAATAACCTTCCCTTACGAATATTTTCAATTGTTTAGTCAACGTGGAGTTCCATTCAAATATTTCTTCTTAGAATGAAATTAGGCTCAGGCCGTATCGCAGCTGGGTGGATGCCTGAAGGGGCCCACTAAATCGTGCTGCCTCTGATTCCTGACTTCACCCCACCCCACCTCCCAGTGCAATTTGCCCTAGACTAATAAAAAAGTGTACTCAATGTTCCCCTAGGCAGAAAGGTTGTTTGGACTGCCTTCCATATCAGATCCTTCCCTTCTCAAAAACCACATTCTTAAGATACAGATTTGTTTGGTCTGGGAAACTCTTACAGGGAGAAGGGTGAAGGTATCTGGTAGTTGCATGTGAGGGCTTTGACCTCTAGACAAGGTTGGAAAGAGTGCATGCTGCCACTCTTCCCTTGACATCAGCACAGGGAGGGACCAGCGCTCAGCCCTCTCTTCTGAAACCTCCCATGTGGAGTTTTAGAGGCCCTTTGGGAACACAGAGGACCTGCATTTTGGCCACTCTCCGGGTTCAAAAGGCAATCTGAGCTATTCCGGCATTCATGGCTATTATTATTATTAACTAACTCTTCTTCCCATTGCCAACGAGCTGAGCGATTCATCGTGATCAGAAGAAAGGTCAGTGAGTGGCCAGATCCAAGGGTTCATTTTATGAATTCTTTGAAGGCAGCCAAGAAGAGGAAGGAAGGTGAAACGTTCACTGTACCAACCACATTACCAGACAATGTTCTGGCTTTAAACACATCACGGCACATGGCCCACAGTGTGCAGACGAGAAACCCGAGGCTTCGAAGTGAAATAAGTTGGTCAAAGTCATACCGTCACAGAGTAGTTAAGCCAAGACTAAACCTGATTCCCCGGCCTGCCTCACTGCACCCCATTGCACCCCAAGGGTGGACTATGCCTTTTCTCCTTCCAGGGTGATGCAAGGAGCAGGCAGACAGGTGAGGAGAAGGTTGGGGCTGGGGCCCACACAGAGCGCTCTGGGAGGGGCACTTCTCCAAGCTTGCCTCCTTCAGAAAGCCTCCCCCAGATGCTTTAACAGGTAGCAGTAAATGACACCCGGGCTATTTTGCTAACAAAATAACCCTGATGCCAATGACCATGGCTTCAGTCTCTTCAGTGACCAGGTACAGTGCACTGCCTCAAACATGGGAGAGCATGCACTTGCTACATACCCAGTCTCCATAAGAGACCCCAAGGAAGGTCTGCGGTTCTCGCTCCTCTCAGATTATCGGCCTTTCTGTTGAAGGAGCTTGATGCTAATTTGACCTGCTTGTCCCCAGTGGAACAAAGCCCAGAGTGACAATGCTAATGCTGATTAGCAAACACTGACCAACTTTTTTCTACCAGGTCCTGGGCTAAGTGCTGTATGTCCATTGCCTCAGTTCATCCTCATGACGACCCTATGTGATACCTTCTTTTATTATCCCATTTTCCATAGATGAAACTGAAGGACAGGGAGATGTAGTGATCTGCCCAGCGTAGCACTAAGGTAATTGGTGAAGTTATATCCAAAGCAGCTTGAGGCGGGGGGGGGGGGGGGGGGTGTGCTCAAGGCAGTTTTTCATCTGTTAGTAATTTAAATTGGCTACACATGAAAGGAAGGAAGGAGGAGGGGTGGAGGGAGGGAATCCATCTAGAAATGGGCAATTCAGGATAGCCGGCAGTCACCAAAACCCTTCTCAAAGTTGCTGGTCCCGTCTCTGACATTACCCAAAATCAGGGATTGCTGTATAAAGTTCTGTTTCTCTTATACTGGGTGAAATTTTAAACTGCGGTTTAGTTGAAACTGAAGACTGAGGTCTTTATTTCAAACATGGAACAGAACGCTGTCCTTCCCAGTAAAGGCTCTAGTAGGCAACTTCTCAGGCAACAAGAAGTAATTTATTCTTCTTTATCTCTGCCTCCAACCAGGCCAGCCCTGAATACCCCATTTAGGGGTGGAGAAGGGGTAAGAATCAAGCTCAAATCAACAGCTGGGCACACCAAGTAGGCCCTGGGGTCACTAGAGATTACTACTGTAAACATTTGCTGGAGGGGACAGAGCCTACCAACTTTGGCCCTACCACCCCCCAAAGCTGCAGTGACATTTCTAGACACTAGAGGGTGCTGTGCAGACAGCCTAGCTTTTCCTTAGTGGCTGATTGCACATTATGGAGAACTTAAATACCTCTCCCTGCAAACCAACTTCTCCTCTTCGTTGTTTCTTGCTGTCTCTAACCACCCTTACAACTCAGCTCGGCTCCTGACTCCCCTCTCTGCAGGAGACATGCCGCAGAAGCACAGGACCGTGTTAAGATCAGCCCTTAAGTCTGTAAATGTTATCCTAAGCATGGCTGTGGAGATGATGTTTTAAAGTTATCGCAGCATGGTTACTAAAAAAACACCTTGCTTTTCTTTCCCGCTGAGCAGGGAGCCGGATGCGGGACTCGATCCCAGGACTCCAGGACCATGACCCGAGCAGAAGGCAGACGCCCAACCAACTGAGCCACCCAGGCGCCCCAAACACCTTGCTTTTCTTTGTAGCTCCTTGGAATGACGCTGGCCACAGTCCTCTGTTTACTTAATCTCCTTTACTGTCTCAGATTTCGGTGATGATATTCTTTCATGCACCCTATTCTTCATCTACCAGTTTCTTAGCTCCCCTGAGATCCCTAGCCTTCACTTTTACCCCCACAGCCCTTTCATCCCCAAAGTTTTGTCATCAGGCATAGTCATCGTTTCCCGCACAGGACTTCCTACCTTTTCTGTGACAGTAACAAAGGGATAAAGGGGAGTGGAGGTAACTATTCTTTCCTGTAGTTACGTCGGGTTTCCAGCCTTCTTCACTTCCAGTCAGAAATACATCCCATACATATCGCCCCCCCCACCCCCGTCCATCCCCTCCGGGTCTCACCCCACCTCCCTGAATCAATCATGGAAATACTTCAGGAAGAACTCTCTGTGGGAGCTTGGAATCATCCCAGGTGTCTCTTGCCTTCTAACTATTATCTTGGATTTCCTAAATATGTTTTGTCAAATTAGCCTAAATGTTTATTTCCTAAATATACCCTCATGGCCCCCCATCCTCTACCCCTCCCCCACCCCCGCACGTCTGAGTTCACACCCTCAGTGCATCTTGCCTGGGTTGCAGCAATGGCCTCGACATGAGGAGAAACCAAGGGAAAATGCCTTCTCCCTCCTGCAGCTGACCTGAGTGCAGCAGGGGTGAAGAACTCACACTCTGGAACTGGGCGTCCGCGTGCAAACCCAGGCTCCCCTCCACCAGCTGCGACCTCAGGGCGGTTACGTAAGCTCTTTGTGCCTTCAATTTCCTCCTCTGTATAATGAGGACAATCATCAGATAGAGTGTCCGACTCATAGTAAAGAAGTTAGCTCTTATTACAAAAGAAATAGAACCAAAGTTCTATTTCCTACCATCAACTCACAGTATGATTGAACCAGCTCTGGACAACCTTGTCCTTCTCCTTTTGCAGAGGGTACTTTTTTTAAAACTGTTTTGGGGACAAGTTATTTCCCCTGTTGTCATGTCAATATTAAGAAAACTGGACTGCTCCTTAAAAGGCTGGAATTTGGGAGAAGGGGAAATGGGATTTGGGCAGTGTTTTAAGCCGGATTCTACTGGTTGTGGAAAGTATGTAAAGCCAAGCTCTGCCTTAGAGTGAGGGCTTGGAGGCCGGCCTCAGCGCGGGGCTTCCAAGCCCACCTTCGCCACCTTCTCCCACCCGCCGGGTCTCCTGACAAGCTGCGGGCTGGCTGCCCTGCACACTTGAGAGCAGAGCAGGTGACCTTATTTTGCTTAAACCTTCCTCCTCAATTTTCCTCCTCCCTTGAGCATGTTTGGAGAGTGGGAGGAAAATCCAAAGATTTCCTAATTGGCCATTTGGTCACAGATGGCTTTGTCCTAGCTGCATTAGCCCTGGCAAACTTGGGGTCAAAGTAGAAGGGTCGAACAGGCTCCCAAAGTCCACACTGAACCACTCTCCGGCTCATGCTCTCAGGACTCCAACCAGCCTCCTTCTGCTAACAATCTTTCTGAAATACAAATCCATTTAAAGTGCCCAGTGGCCCTGGTGCACCTCCACGCTCTCTACAAGCCTCCTGCGATTCCCAGCACACCCGTGAGCTCACTCACTCACCTCCTGGGACCATTTCCCCACCCTTCAAGATTCCACAGGAGGCGGGAAGTGAGGGGCAGGGAGACATCTGGGGTGACTTCCTAATTCTCAGGGAGAGGAACTCAGGGAGATGGAGGTTTGGATGTGTTGGAATTGCAGTCTCTGGGGACGGGGGTGGGGAGTGGGGGGCTGTTTTTTGTCTTTAGCTGGAAATGGTACTTAAGGTGGTACCTTGGGCCATTTCATGAAATTACTCAGTTTTCATTATACCTCCCACAGGCACAGGAGGTACACATTTATTAAACTTGTTTATTTTTCTCTTGTTAATCTTCTATTACAAGGGGTCTCAGCCAAGAACCTAGAAGCACAGGGAGAAAATTATTTTTCCTCCCCTACATCACAAAACAAAAATCTGACTATACCCCATCCCAAACCCAGTGTTCAGCCCCCTGGAAACAGGGGCTGTGTTGTTCCTTTCTTCTCCCTGGCCAGATGCTGGTGCCTGAAATGTGGCAGAGCGATGAGGAATAAGGCAAATAGGGCGCCCGGGTGGCTCAGTCAGTTGAGCGTCTGCTTTCGGCTCAGGTCATGATCCCAAGGTCCTGGAATTGAGCCCCTCGTTGGGCTCCCTGCTCAGCGGGGAGTCTGTTTCTCCCTCTACCCTTCCCCACTGCTCATGATCTCTCTCTTTCTCTCAAATAAATAGATAAAATATTTTTTTTTTAAAAAGGAGTAAGGCAGATAAAGTGTACTCAATGTGGTCGATGGCCTACTACTGATATGTGATGCAATATGTACAGAAACTGAATATTTAGAAATATTTAC